TGTTGCAGAAATCAAGTGTGTACTGTCAAGCAATCACTTCTGCAAATAACAGTGAGCCTCTACAGTCTATTTTATAACTGTATCTCTGCCTCTTCTAAAAATGTAATGCAGCAGCCGAAGAGGGGATACTTCCATTGCTTTTCTGCTTCAGGGACCTGCTGTGTCACTGGGATAAATGTGATGGCAGCTCTGCCAGTGACGACTCACAATTGTGTTCACCAGCTTTTTCCTTGTTGTTTTTAAATTGAAGGTGCTGGGGATATAATTATGTAGGAGTCTAACAATACTTGGTTTAATGTAACCTTGACATTTTATTATGTTTTTTTTTTTTTTTTTTAAATTTCCTGTAGTCAGATGCCAACCACAGCCGCCTAAGAAACTGAAGAAACTCTTGAACTTTCTCACAGCAGTTTTGTGACATGTCCGCAATCTATCATTCTTCTTAAAAGAAACTGTGAGTCTTGGGAAGCAAGAGGAGTGATGATTTGTGTCAGAGCCCAGTCTGCACCAGAGCTGCTCCCCTGGCTGCAGCATGTGTCCAGAGGATGAGATGATGCCACCCTGGGCAGGCGGTGGGGCCGGAGACAGGGCAAGCTGTTTGTGAAAGCTTCTTGCAGCCCACAAATAATCTTTGGGAGGGCATATCCTGTAGGCCTAATGAAACACTGAAAGGGTAGCATAGTTGGGAGCTACTCTTGGGGCATTGATCATAGCTTTATAGTCAACATTTTTTTTTTTTTTTGCTATGGACCTAATCTTGAAAGTTGTGTGAATTTTTTATTACATGTAAAGAATTATTGTGAAGGTCACATTTTTAAAAATTGGTCTTATTTATTTAATTCTTTGAGTATCATGTTAACACATTTACCTAATAATATTAATGGATGATGTGAGATCCCCCACAAACTGCCATCAGCAGTCCTTGCAGAATAATAATGTCTGTACATCGAGCTGCCACTGGTTGTTTGCAGTCTGTTTCTACGGCAGTGGTTTTGTAGCATGTGCCAGGTGGCTTAGGTAATGGATTACTATTATTTTTTAGGTAAATAAATGATCAGATAAAGTGCTGTCAAGCTCTTGCTATGTCAGGAAATGTGTGCAATGACCACCGTTATCCTTCAGTGAGCCACAGAGCTCCAGGCTGAGTTGGAAGGGAGAGGCGGCCGGTCACATAGATGTACCTGGCTCTTAGGGTCTTCTCATGGGGCCTTTGGGAGTTTAATCATCTCCATGTGTTCTAATAACAAAGTAATTTGTCCGTCTCCTTAATGAGACTGATTGTTTAATCTCTGTAAGACTAAAGAAAGCGTTTTTGTTTTTGAAATTTGATCATCAAAGCATGAATTGGAGGAAGTCACAGAAACGTCCAGTGTCACGTGGTTTCGCTGTTTCTGGATGGTCTATTTTTCACAGGATTTTTAAAAAGCAAGAAGTGGTAGTAAGGTTAATTGTAGGTGGTGTTTGTGCTGTGAGGGAAAAGCAGCACACAGCTGGGAAGTCCGCTGTCCTGCGAGTACCAGTGGGATAGTGCCTAGATTTCTGGCAAGTCGGAACAGCCTCTGCAGCAGACCTCAGCGGAGGCAGCCGCGTGGGGTGTCCTACAGGGACATTCACTGAATTCGGATTTCATGGCTTGAAAACTCAAAGCATACACAAACCAAATATTTAACTGTTTGAAGTCTTGTGTTACTGGTGTCTCTGACACCTGCATGTACGTATGAGCATACGTACAGATATTGCTGGTTTGAAAGGCATCTTGGCTTGGGGAGATGATGGACCCGGTTTCACTTTGCTCTGTCAAGCAGCAAGAGCTTCTCTGATAAGAGCCGGTGGTTTGTTTTATGCCTCTTGGTTAAAGTCAGCTTACCTTGGTTTGCATGTATGAAGTCAGGGACAAGCAGAGTCTGAACTCCTGTACTTGGTTGGGTTTTCTTTCAAATCCTTGAAGGTGCAGAGGGTATCTCTGATTTAATTTTGCTCTTGCTATGGTGGAGCAGTGTTTGCTACTGCTTGTATCGTGCTTGACTCTGATAGTGAGTATTTGTACAGTTGGGCCCAGGGCCAAGAACCGGTGTTTGGGCAAGGCTATTGCTCTGCTGCTTCATTAGCAAACTACTCGAACGAGTGAAGCAGCAGTGTGCACCTTCTGCTTCTCTTCTCTGCTGCTGAAATAGCAAGGAAGAACTTCCTATTTGCCCTTAATAATAGGTGGTCCTTGTTGCAGAAAATATGGTGCTAGGGTTAGAATAAACCCATGGTTCTTGGAAATTTTCATCATGCCTGTGACTTTGATTTTTTCTTCAAACTAAATCTTTCTGATTAAGTTATTTTTATAGACCATAACCCCGTGCATGATACACCACAACAGATGTGTGTTTTTGTTTTGGGGATGATGCTCCCAAGAGTTTGACTGGTTTAAATTGGTATCAAAACTTTCAAGTAAGTAGAAATGCATAAGGCACAAAATTAAACCTGTTATCTAAAGATCATGGGAGAGAGGGAAAATTCAAACTGTGTTTAATTCAAGGGCTCTTTGTACGGTAACTTTTTCCTTTTCTTGGCTTTGCTTTTGAGCTGCATCCAGGACGGAGAGTTGTATGGTTGGGTTGCTAAGGCCTCGTTTACCAACACCAATAGCAAGGCTTTTAGTGACTTTCCTGGCACAGAACAATGCTTCCATGCCCGTGGCAGTGCCGCGCTCTGTGCCACCCTTTGCTTCGGACTGCATCATTTCCTCCCTGTTCTCAGTGTTGCTTGGCTTTGCTTAACTCTGGGGTTGCTTAAGCCTGATCCTGCAAAGATTTATCTTTATTCTGGGTGAGCAATCACATTGCTTAATTTTGTGCTTTGAAATCAACCATGTAAATCTGAAAGGCTGGGCCTTTTATTCTCTATTTCCTCTTATTTATGTGAAATAACTTTGCTGACATGTACCTGCTCAGAATAGTTTGTGCAGGAAGACAAATGAAAACATATCCTAGGGATGTCACCTTAGTAAGCTCTTTGTGTTAAGCTCTGTGTATGTAGTATTGCAGTAAGTTAGGACATGTCTACTTAAAGCTCGATTTTAATATTTAATAGCAAGAGTGTATTTTCAGGAGTAGCTTCTGCTTTCGGGACCCCCACCATCTCTTGTAGATAATGGTTCCACTCATCTTTTGGTGAAGCCCACTTTCTCAGTTTGCTGCAGGCAGCAGCCGAACGTGCAGTACTGTGCGAGATGGATAGCCTGGGCTGCCCAGCCTTGTGCAAATGTGAAAAGTACTGGAGTTATCCAGCTGATGATCTGGATCATTTTGGCATCTTCCTGTTCCTGGCCATCTGGGTCATAACCCACGACTTTTCTGTCACAATGGAGCTGCTTTGCTGCCTGCTCTCAGTTAATCGCAGTACTTAGTATTTCTACCTATCTTTGTTTATTTATATACAAATAAAATGTAAATAAAGGATCAGTGCTGGCTACAAGGTTTGTGTGTGTGTAGGGGAGTTTGTTTGTTTTCAGAGAGGATAAGTACTTGGTGCATTACATTAAAGGAGTGCCCTTCTTGCTGAATTCTGAGCATTAAGCAGCTGGAAGGGAAGCACAGGAAACATTAGGCATTACTAGTAAAATTTAAAGGCTTCAATCCTATTCAATGTCTGTGGATTGCAGATATTGACCCAACTTTTAATGTGAGTATCTGCAAATTTTAATGCAAATTTTGAAGACGTGAAAATGGATTGCTTACACAGGCAGAGATCTTGTGTCTTTACGCCATCTGTTCTCCTTAGTGGCTTGGGTTTGATTTCTTTGGCCTGTTAATCAGAGACAATAGCAAGAATTGTCACAGATCTTTCCCTGAATAATAGTGACATGGAGGTACTCAAAGCTGGGGTAGAGCTTCTTAAAATGTTAAGGGAGAAGTAGGTACAAACCTAATATCAAAAGAGCAAGTATGAATGGAAGGTCCCCATGCTGAAGGGTCTGAGGGAGGAGTATGAAGATGAAACTGGAGGAGAAGATGTCAGGAACGCAGAATGCAGCTGTGTCTGCAGGGTCGTCTTCGAGTCTGTTACCTCCATGCTGTCTGGTGAAAGTTGTGGTTGTTTTCTGAACATCTTGAAAGTGGTTGCATTTCCCTCATTGCTCATCAAGTCTTTGCCTGTTAACCCAGCTTCAGGTGTGGCTGTAGGTAAGGCTGCCAGTGTAATTCACAGGGAATAAAAGCTGCCACCAGTAATTAGCAGGAGCGGTGGCTTGTTGATTTTATTTAGCTCTTAGGAGACAGTGGGGATGGTTGAGAACAGACTCTGCCAGGCTACTTACACCATTGTCTGATGAGTGCCCTCGCTTTAAAATTAAATGTAAAGGCTAAAGCCATGTTGCTTTGAAGAGCTCTCATTCTGTCTTTGTAGTAGTTAACAGAGGGGGGAAATACAACGTGTGACCTGTCAAGTTTCCCACTTTGCTGTGTGGTTAGGTGTAAACCGCACGTTTCTAGCTTGACAGTCCTAAATATAGAAGAATAGAGATTTCTCATCTGAGTGACTTTCATGCCCGTATGGTCTCTTTTTTATAAATAGATATGAAAAATCATGAATTCTTGCTGCAGTTACCAATGGTGTCTTTGAGTTCTTCCATTTGTTTTTCCCAAGACAAGATAATTTTGCCATTACTTTGTGATTTACAGGAGGATGCTATCTCTTCACAGAGCCAGAGAAATAAACTAAAAATACTGTGAGTTGCTCTAACAATGTGGGAATTCATTTCCCCAACATGGCTTGTCACACGTTACTCTCTGCAGACTGCCTGGGTTATTCACGAGTGTCTGTAAAGCAGATGACCTCAGTTGTTTTGCTGAGGAAACTGGAGAGAGATTCCCAAGTTGCCTTATGAGTTAGTCTACACCAATACAAGAAATATGGAAATACTTTCCATGGAGATTGAGCCTATTTTGCTTGGAAAGGAAACACCAGCTGTCTCTGAAAGTGCTGAAAATCTGTGTCACAAGCGGTACGGGATGGAAAGAGATGATTTGGACTATATGTATGTTAAAGTAAGTAGAATGTGTTTGGTTGTTTTCTTGGTTATAACACAGGTGAAGGCTGTACAGCCAAGCATATAATAACTTATTAGTATAATAGTTTATTAACAAAGCCTTAAAGTAAGTAGAATTTTGACTTACAATCTGGAGATATATGAAGAAGACTTTTTCAACCATGCCAGGCAGTAATTTCATTGTTTAGGGCATTGTCTCTCTTAGAAAAATCTTATATGAGGAGACGCATTTGCAGAAGTGGTTAGAATTTGATGTCAGTGCACTTCTTCTTTGTGACAGTCTTACGTATTGGAAATGCAAAGGTGATACAAACTTTTTTCAAACAATCAAATAGAAAACGCTTGTAGAGCAGAGGGGTGGAATAGTTTCTCTAAGGCTGAATGTGGCATACAATTTCCAACTCATGTGAAAGGTTTTAATTTCAGGCCCCTCTCCAACACAGAGGTGTTTTCCATGATTTCTTGTGCTAATCAAGGCTAGAATTGCACTAATGAAATGGTCTGGAGCAGGCGGCACTGGGGTCCCTGCTGCACGGGCGGCTCCTGTGGGCGCTTCCCTTGAGGGATCTGCTGGGGCAGGGCTGAAGGCTGCAGGGAAGAAGTGCAGCTGCTCTCACCGACAGTTTCTGAGAGCAACGCTGTGGCCGTTAACCCTAGTTCTGCTTTCACAGCTTCCCCCAGCACTTGTGGAGGCTCTTTGGGGGGTTTAGCGTTGCTGGCTGGTTTTAAGTTGGAGCTTGCCAGGTCATTTGCACTGTTTCTGGTTTCCTTGCGTGGGGGCTTGCTGTTAATTTCCCATGAAAAAGTGGTGGGACTAAATATAGCCTCATTAGCTGTGCTTCACTGGTGTCAAGTTGCTGTTACAATATGGCAGAAAAGTGTCTGTGGTGTGGACTTAACCATAATAACAGAGTTAGCTCTGAGTTAGCTGAGTAAAACTAGTTTTGCCTGAACAGCTCAAGCTCAGTCAGCAAAAGCTCTGTTTTAATGATGTAACTGCATCTCAGCCTGGGGCTTCTGCGTCTTTCTAACAAAAAATAATCAGTTAGTTTGGGATTTTTAGAACCTCAAGCCGGTGTTTTATTTTCAATGTGACTTTTTGGGGGGCTAGGAATAAGAACAACAGAACGCTCAACTTTGCAAAGATACACAGAAAAGTATGGCATTATCTACTATCAAAGTTTATGCCAAATATCGTTCTTTTCATTTTTAACTGTTCAATTAAGCTTTCACAGTTAAGTCAGCAATTGTCCGTACTCCAGGTGTTTTATGAATATCAGAAAATTTAGCCTTATTTCACGTCTGTGAGCTAGGTGATCAGTTATGGCTCCGCTACCTTTTTCTCAATAACTTCTTGTTTCCACCTCCAGCGCTGTGGCACAGCACGGCGCAGTGCATCTGTCTGATCAATGCAGCCCTTTATTTCCCCTTCCTGCCTAACCAACTGCTAGATACACCAAATAATCTCACGGCAGTGATGCAGATGGCTCTGCACTGAGGCAGAGACACTGAGACTAAAGACAACGCTTCCTCGTTCTGCGTGTACGAGCCCAGGATGAGCAGCCAGCCGCAGCTGGCGCTGGGAGTCCCTCCGGTCCCTGAGCAGAACTTGGGCTGTGCTGCGTGTTGGGAGAAACTATTCCATTGTCCTGCCTGTTACGGGTGACGTTTCTGGAAGATTTGGGGAAAATAATTTTTAAAAGCTTCTGTAAGATCTTAAATCCATTTAAAAACTTGAGAAGATGAAATAGACATTTCATTGTGTGACATCAGCATGTAAAAATATGTAAGAGACATGAGAGTCTTGACTGAATTTGTACCAGTGGTCTGGAAATAACACTTACTTCAGCATTTAGTTAATTATGCTGTGAAGTCTGTATTATGACTTGCATCACGTTAGTGTTAAAATAAAACCCTACAACCACTTGTTTCATTTGTCCTCATAATATTTGTTTTCTTGGCTTTTAAATTCAGGCACCCGTGAAGTTAATAACGTGTTGAATGGGCTTTTTTGTGTATTCTTAAGTGGTGGGTTTTTAAAAAAATGTTTAAATTGGAGTATTTTTGTAATGTACCCACAACATTCACTGTAAGCACGCACACATTAAATCATGCATCCTTTCCCTGATATTCTTTCCTCAGTGCAGCATGTCGCATTAGCTTAATATTCAGGGGATGGCTGTAGTTGTTTCATTTGCCCTTAAATTTTTTGTGGCCAGTTTCCTACAACTCTTGTAACATGTTTTTCAGGTTGGATGAATTGGGTGCTTTAAGGTAGACTTGTAATTAAATTCTTTTGGAAATCTGCACAGTATAATTCAGTGTTGGCATTTGTTGTGGTGGTATGGAGAGGTACACTTATAATTAAATTATTTTTGAAATCCCCACAGTATAATCCAGTGTTGGCATTTGTTGTGGTGGTATGGATGGAAATGCAATACAGTGTATGCCTCTCTGTGTGGGTATGACCCCAAATGAAGTTTTACATGAGTCAGAATATTTTCCTGTCACTCGGTCTGGGGTAGGTGTCACACTTCTGTTTGACATTTTCACTCATCTGATTGTGGTTGTTCAGCTGCTTTGTGTCTCAAGTAGTGACCAAAACGTTGGTGCTTTTGATCTAGCTGTAACTGCCGCCTTTTTTTTAAGATCTTTCAGAGCCGCGTTCATTCCTTTCGACAGGTCTAGAAATCAAAATTGTTTCAAACACAACATTTTCTTAAACATTGATTTTTCTTTGGATATATTTTTTTAAGCCCTGGTGTCACGCCCCCCATGTGAATAGCATGAGGCTTTTGATCTTCCTATTGCATAAACTATGTGAGAATATTTTTCAGATAAAAAGTTAATACAAATTGTCACACATGTTTTCCCCAGCACATACATTGTGATATCAATGTCTTTTTAAATTAATGCTTTCTAAATATCAGGCCTTAAACTGTACAAGAGGTGTATGTAAATGGCTGTCGCTGAGCAACAAGACAGGAAATACGCTCCATGCCCAAGGAATGTTACTGCCTTTAAGAAAATTGATAGTTTTTGTTTTGATTCTTGTACAAAGTTAATGATGCCGTTTCCCTCAGGCTGTAAGAATAGTTTAGATGAGTTGGTCAGAGGTTTTGCAGCAGCCTGCGTGTCATGGAAATGCTCTACTTTCCGATCCTCCCTGGTTACTTGGCATTTTTGTGAAAGGAGATGAAATGTGGTCTTCTTTCCAAGCCGCAGCTAGCAGCAGCACTTTGATAACAGAAATGCAGTGCTCCCTTGGGGCTGCCTGCGCATCGCCGGACAGGTGCCAGGAGTTTTAGTGGATTCAGCAGTGGAAGAAGTGGGACCTTGTCCCGCCCCGTGCGCGAGTGATCAGGGTCTCTATGTAGGGGATGCAGGTTGGTCAAATTAAGACTTGTGTTTGACCTGTTACTCAGCTGGCTGTGCATCTGCTTATGTTAATATAAAAGCCAAACTTTTCTGCTTCGGGTGTTTCTAGGCTCAGTATTATCATCCACGGTGGCAGTACTGTGAAGCAAGTATAAGGGAAAATATAAAGGTGGAAGGAAATTATTCTAATAGCATCAAATTACATTTTCAGAGCAAGCCCATCCATGGAAATCACACAGCTCAGGAGTCCTTTTCTAATAAGTTTGCATTTTCCATAGATAAGCTCAACGCTTCTGCAGCGTGAACTGTTAGGACTTGGTGCTCTCTTTTGTTGTTATGCCTTGCTAGCACGGACACTTTCCTTTTTCCAGCCTAACAATGCAGCCTGCTCTCTCCATGTGGCCGTATTCAGTTAGCAACAGGTTCACACTGAATGATTTTGGTCAAATTTGGCTTTGACTTTCACCAGGTGTTGCAGATAAGCTCAACACTTCTGCAGCGTGAACTGTTAGGACTTGGTGCTCTCTTTTGTTGTTATGCCTTGCTAGCACGGACACTTTCCTTTTTCCAGCCTAACAATGCAGCCTGCTCTCTCCATGTGGCCGTATTCAGTTAGCAACAGGTTCACACTGAATGATTTTGGTCAAATTTGGCTTTGACTTTCACCAGGTGTTGCTGTTCCGTTGGCTCCTTCAGCTAGAGCTGCCAGAATTGAAGGTATCTCTTTGATCCAGACATCAAGGAGCTGCTTTGTTCCTACCCAAACCCGAGGTCATTCTTGAAAGAGAGAGGGGCAATGTCTTTCCTAAGTTCTTCACAGTTAACACCTGAAAGACTGCATTTTTTTGAGGCTGTCTATAAAGAAATAAATAGATGATCTCTGCTGAAGTGGAAACCATACAAGTTCACTTGTACGGGTAGGTTTTGCTGAGAAACTAGGGACAGCTTTTTATGGGTTGAAATTTCCTTTTTTGGATTTAGATCATCTCATGAACTCTTTCAGCTCCTAATGAAAAGAGCTATTAAGCTGTGAAGATAGCAGTATCTCCTTGTGCAGTGTTTGTGGTTGTGCGATGGAAGCAGAAAACTGACTGGTGAAGCGACTGCTGAGCCGCTCGCATTGCTGATTCCGTTCTGTCAGCAAGGTCAGTTAGTACTTCAAGAGGTTCATATCTCAGAAGAGAGGCTTTGTGAGTCATGTGGTCTCATTTGATGGATAATTATGATAGTCTGCTGATTTCTTCATGTGATCTAAGATGAAATCATGAGGTATGAGAGAATGGTGTGATTTCCTATTATATTTTCTTATTATGTAAAATTGTGGTAATACAACTAGCTTTCTGACCCACCCGTAAAAAATGAAAACTTCTCCCTGTGTTTTTTTCTGCAAGTCACTATAAAGATATCACTAAGCCTTTGGTTTTCAGCAGCACAACTTGCCCGCCTTTGAACAAAGTGTGGCCATTCCATACTTCTGTGTGATTTTGGAGGTGGTGGAGTTTTCGTGTTAGTTTGCCGAGGCTGAAAGAGAGTCTAGGCAAGAAACTGAGTTTTTAAATAGTACTGTCAATATGCATTTCATTTGTTTTCTTTCTGAATTCAAGGGTATCTCGTCTGTGTGCCTTATATTTTCATTCCGATTTTTTTTAAACTAGTTTAGAGTAGGCGATGGCCCTGTGAATGCTCAGCTGGAGATAGCTGGCTGCTGTGGCTTTGTCGTGGGGAGGGAGGATGGGCTGCATGTCCTCCTCGTGCCTCTTGCAGTCATACCTGTCTGATGAGAACACGAGGAAGTCATCAGTGGTGAGCTAGAAACACACTCACAGAGAAAGTACAACGTTATTGCCAGGAGAGCAAAGCTGAGTTTATTGGAGCCAAATCAATACTGAAAGGGAAAGTGCAGGTGACTCTACAGGTAAGCTTGGGGTGACATGAAAGGTAACAATGTTTACTTAAAATTTCATTCACTGCCTTTCCTTGAGTAAATCGTACTGTTATCTCTCCTATCAGCAGTTTGGTGGTTCAAAATTTATATTGAACTATTACAAAGAGTAATATATTCATTGGTCATAATCAGGCACATTTTCACTAAAGTCTTTTTGATGCTTGCCATAATTTTTGTCATTTCACTGCTAGCATTTAGAATTTATTGTAATTTTTAGGCTAGAATTTCCTTAGCTTTTTAGTAGGCTGATTTGTAAATCAATGTCTCTAGAAGTTTATTGTATTTTAGTCTTATTTGATGTAGTCATAAACTTGATTTTATATACTAGTAAATAAAGAGGGATGAATAGTAGAGATACTAGAATAAGGTCTTTCCCGAGAGAGAGGCCCCTGGTCCTGTTTCCACCAGCAATGGTGCTTTGTTTTCTGCTATGGGGCTGGATCCCACTAGAGGCTAGGCAGCAGTGGGATTTTAACATCAACCGATTATATAAAAGTTAGAATGAAGATCTGATTTTGCAAATCATTCTGCTAAATTAATGAGGTGAAAATATTGTGTAATGATTCAGTGCTTATAATTAGGAACATCTCTCTCTTTCCTCCCACCTGTTCCTTTTACCAGCTGTTTTCTTTGGTGGGGTTTAAGGCTGGCGATGATGCTAGAGGTGAAAAGCTGCAGCTTAGTGCTCATAGGATGACTTTCATATCTGCGGGTTATGTCACGTGGAAGGTTCAGCTGTCTGTAGTAACCCGGTTTCTATGGTGATCTGTTTTCTGCTTTCTCTTAGACAGGAGAAGATGTACAGTTTCAGCTGAAGCAATTAGCGCTGCCTATTTCATGCTGGCGTAGATCACGCAGTTAGAAACTGCTACGCAGCATTTGCTGCCTGGAGTTAACAGTATTTGTGTCTTGCAAGGCTCCTGCCTTTTTCACCTGGGGAAACTTTTCTTTGTGTAGCCTAGAGGAAACCAGCCTGCTAACCTGTTCTGCTGGACAGTATTTAAATGCTTTCCTCTTTCATATTGCATTTACTTTGCTTTCTGTCAATACCCGTGATGAGAAGCAAGCCATATCCCATCAGAAACATTGAGGATGGTGAACTGCTGGTGTACCTGATCAGAAACGTTGAGGATGGTGAACTGCTGGTGTACCTGAGGGAGGGGAAAGAAAAAAAATCCTGGGCAAAATGTGGCACACGTTTGGCTGTGGCTGATGCATTTGTGTGTTTTAACTGTAAAACTTCCCTGCTTTCTGGCAGGGCTTTGATTTTTAGGTTTTGGGGGTTGTTTTAAATAAAAGAGAGTTCTGTGAACAGGTGCATTGGGGTAGGTTTGGATGTATGTATGTCTATGGAGCTTTATAGGGAATCATTTGTTTAACAGCCACGTGGAGAGGGAAGAAGACATTGCTCCTGAGCGCAGTACTTGGCTCCAGTGCCGCACCTCTGTTGTCACGGCCTGGATGATTATTTTGGAATTATTCTATCATTTCTGTAGGTTTGTACTTGCACTGGCATATCCACTTGTTAGCACACACCTTCGTTTTATCTCAAATAAGGTTTCTTAGCCTGCAAATTGTTTTCAGCCCTGCTGTATCCACAAACAAATAATCCAAGTGCCCGAGCCATGGCTCCTGCTGCTCATTTCCCCGCTGCTCCGCTGCCTTTTTGCTTCATTGCTGCTCTGTGCAGTGCTCTGGGAATGGCAAGAGCACATTCTGAAGAATTCCTTTGGAGATCTATAATTTTTCAAATAATTAATCAATATTCATATCTTTGGGGGGGAGTGGGGAAGAGGGTATATAAATAATAAAGTAATACTGCACTTTTGTACTGAAAACATTAGCAAATATGTATGAAACTAAATACAGCTCAAAGAAAAAAGAAAACCAGCTGCATATTTACTACAAAGAACAAAGTTTCTTGTCTTTGTATAAAGTAGATTCTTAGGGCTGGCCTAAACATCCAGTGAAGATGAAGACAGACCAGGTGTGGGAGCATAACGTATTCTGTAGGGGGAGCAATGAAAATGAATTTTTAATTCTTTATTTCATTGTTTTTCTCCTTTCACTCGGTAAAGGAAATTGTTTTACATGTATGGCATAAGCTTTTCAGGAGTTGGGGAGCTTTCTAGATGAAGGCAGTGGCAGCGCTTTAAAGGCTGCAGTGGGTTAAGGGTAAAAGCCATTGTCAATTACTCACTCTCCTTGAGAAGCATCCTGGATATGGGAAGCAAATTGCTTTGTGAGGTTCAAAATCCTTCCAGACACTGAGTTTCTCTGGCAGCCTCCAGCTAGACAGGGTGCGTCTCCCTCTCCTGGGCCAGGGGCTGGGGCTCTTCGAGTCTCGCTCCTGACCCACTGCCTTTGCTGAACACGTTTTATCAAAAAATCCCTAGTAGAAACAAGAAGTTCATAATTTTAAGTAGTGGGAAAACTGGGTTAATAAGAGGAAAAAATAAAAAAAAGCTTCAGCATTCTTTGAGGCACAAGGTGCTATACAAAAAGAAGTTGTGTAATGACCAACAGCAAGGTGATGAAGCTGTATGACCAAATGCAGTTTTCTCTGCCATCAAATGCTGTGCTTTGACAAATGCGTTACAGTTACTTTGAAATATTTTAGTGGGTTGAGAATGTTTTGCAACGTGACTGTACCTCCAAAGCCAAGAAGCTGTTTTGTTTGCAGAGGGGATGGGTGTGGGATGTGCTCTCTAGGCATTGCAAGAGCATCAGTTCAGAAGCTGCAATGTATTAAAAATATCATAGCCTTTTCCTTGTGTTTCTCACGAGCTGTTTTCATATGTACATATTTACATGTGTGTGCAACTGTATAAGTAAATAGATAGTTTCCATGCGCCTTTAATTGATTCTTGAATATGAGATAACCTTTATTATCTTCACTCATTTAAAAATAGGAATATTCTTTCTGGTTTTGGAAACACGTCACATGTTTCTTCTGGGTTACTTTTATGAATAAAGTTTGTGTGGAAATGGTCATTAACTGGAATGCTGTGGGTTTTTTTTATTTTTATTTTTTTTTCTTTTTGGTGTTCTGGAGATAATCTATTTTAAACTTGCCCTATTTGAAACTACAAAGGAAAGAGCTTTTAATATTTGAGATCAGGTAGCTTTGCTTGAATTAACACAGATGTGCCAAAGTGTTCTTTTAGGAAAAAGGGGGGAAAAAAAGCTATATAATGTTATGCTGCAAATGCATACTACTCAGAAGAGTTGCTCCAAGTAATTTTTTTGATAGCCCAGTTTTTGATCTCGCTGAAAACACAGGGTTGTTTTTTTTTTCTGTATATTTTCAGCATTGAATATGTATCTTGGAACATTATTTTGCATGAGAAATGCATTTTACTTTCTGTGTAGGCAATAAATTTAAGCTCATGTAGCCTTTCATCAATAGAACAATTTATTCACCTCAGACATACTAATTAACTTGTCTCTTGCTTAAGGGTTTGGCTGTTAAATGTGTATTTAAAAAAGAAAAAAATTGTTTTGGTGTCATCTCTATTGATGATCTAACTCTGCTGCAACAAGAAGTCGCTGATCCTTTGCTGTTGTTATTGTATTGCAGTATGCCAGGGTTTGGATCCCTGATCCAGAGGAGGTCTGGAAGTCAGCAGAACTTCTCAAAGATTATAAACCTGGAGATAAAGTCCTCCAACTTCGACTTGAAGAGGGCAAGGTAGGTCTGCATATTGTTTGTAGGCTGATAGTTTTTGTTCTCAACCGGACACTGATGTATCTAACGCAGGGAGCTGTACTGTCAAAATATATCCGTATTTATGTATGTGCAATTATTCCTGTCCACTGACTTCCAGCAGTATTTTTTTGGTGTGATAGGTTATACTTCTTAGTCACAGAAATCCGTTTTGCCTGATTTTAAAAATAAATGTTTAAAACGTTGCATTTATCCAACTGTCTATTATGTTCAGTTGCATCATCTTTTTCTACTCACGCTGCTCAACCAACCTGCAGCCCCGGTTTGGTATTCCAGTGAGAGCAGTGTTGCTGGGAGAGCAGTGGTGCAGGGAAAGAACTGTGACTCTGAAGTTGAGCATAGCCATCAGAAGATGAATAAAGACAAAAAGGGGCAAGCATTAAGGGCATTATGAAAATGATGCTGTATGTGTTGTAGCGAAATGATGACGTGTCTACGAAAAGCTCACAACATTCTAGTGGAGGCCTGTTCATTTTTTTTATGCCCTTTAAATGATTATTTAATTTTAATATATAATGATGGTGATTCCTCAGATCTTCTAATGGAAAATAAAGATCTACTGCAGTTGGTCAAATATTTATTTTTCATTTATTTTTTTCTTCCCAGTGGGCAGCTTAGATCCTACTTTTATACAGAGGCCTATATAGCAGTGAAGTAAAGAAAACAGATTATATATATCAAATAGCTCCTAAATAAATATTGTATTTGAATGAATTTCAGTCCTTGATTCACTCATATTGCCTACGTGGCAAGCTGAGTACAACCTTTTTAATCCGATGAGATTAATTTCCCAGCACATATTCCAGGCTGTGTGGTGCTGCTGCCCACATTGCATGTGGCAGAATGGGCGTGTTTGCCGGTTAAGTCACATTGTGTGAGGACAGGGAAACAGCAGGTAAATAAAGATCTAGAGACAGATGCAATTAAAGCATCTATATCAGAGATTAATTTATATCTGCAAAAATTGTAAGTAGCATTGCTTCAGTGTATGTGTTCTTCGTGGCGTTCTGCCAGCACTCTGGTGTTGTATTACTGCATATGAAGCTGGCTAGAGACAGGTGGGAAGCTGCTTCCTCTCTTCTCAAGAGGAAAATAATATGGGAAAACTGGTTAGATTTTTGATATAGCATATTTTGTTTTATTTAATAAAATTATTTGGCAGCAAAAGCAAGGGGTTTGCTTAAGTGATAGTCTAAAAAGGTAGTATCACCTGTGCCTGTTATGCCTATAGAACACCCTTTTGGGAAATTTTAAATTATGTTTTTGGAGAAGGAACTGCTAACTCAAGTCACCAGATAATTTAAATCTTGCATTGTGTTTTTGTAACTTGCGCACGTTTTACTGGAAAGAACGGTTGGAGGGACTGCATGAGGAAACCTAAACACCAGCTCTTTCAACACGTGTTTCTATTTGATTTTCAGGACCTAGAATATTGCCTAGATCCGAAGACGAAGGAGCTCCCGCCCTTGCGAAACCCTGACATACTTGTTGGTGAAAATGACCTCACAGCGCTCAGTTATCTCCATGAACCTGCTGTTTTACACAACCTCAAAGTTCGATTTATAGACTCGAAACTAATCTATACCTATTGTGGCAAGTACTGTCTTTCCATACCATAATCTTTACAGGGACTGTGAAAACATAGTGTGATGATGTGATTGCTAGAAACCAGATATTGAAAATTTCCTTCTCGTTATTGTCTGATTAAGGCAAAGACACATTTTTCCAGTACATGTAGTCAGATTATCACTTGCATATTCATTGTGCCAGCAGAAAACACGCCCCATGGTTTTTTTTTTAATATACAATTTAACTTTGTCTCTCATCAGACTTTTCTAGGACAGTCCCAGTTCTTGGTATTGTAAGTCAAAGTGTCCTGAGCCTTCTTGATGTTGTTATATATTACTAAACTTGCTGTTTGTAATTTCATTGTACTTCGCACTGTTTTGAAAACTATGGAGTAGGGAAGTCATGCTGCAAGGTGGCCCTTGACAGATATCAGCTAACCATGGTTGCAGGTGTCTGAAGCAGGAATTTGTGTTTTGCATCTGAAGGCCCTGTTGAACATGCCAAGGGTCAGATGTTCCCTCTTCTGGTCACTGCTGCAGCTCCACCCATGGTGATGGCGATGGAGAGCTGAGGCCCCCAGCACGTTAAACACGTTGTGATGTGATGGTCAGACTGCAGGCATTGATGCCCTGCCACTGTTTGCTCACTCTGGCTATTCCTAATCTGCGGATGCTCAGCAGAGTGCGTCTGCTCCCAGTCCTGCTCTCAGCAGTGTCTGGACCGTGGGGCACTGAATCAGGCTTTGCCACCCTCTCCTTGCAGCCAGCCTTCATTCCCATAGGAGTGGGAGGTGATTCATACCCACGTCTCATCCCATTGTGCAGCCAGAGCATGACTAGAGGCGCAGAATAATTCAGATTGGAAGAGACCTCTGGAAGCCTTCAGTGAAGCTCCCTCCTTAAAACAGGTCTGACCAGATCAGGCTGCTCAGGGCTTGGACCAGTCAAAGTATCTGAGTATTTGAGTATCTCCAGTGCTGGCTGTACCGCAGCCTCTATGGCCACCCCTGCTCAGGGCACGTGTTCTGGTCCCAGTGTTGGAAAGAGAAACAAACCACCTCAGTTCCCCCAGTTTAGACATTGTGTATCTCTCCCGAGTGCCCCTACGGCAAAGCTCGTGGTGTTTTGTGAAAGGGCTTTTGTGCAAGCAGAGTCCCACGGCCCGAGGCTGTGAGGCGCGTTTGGTGGTGGCCAGCCCACTGGTACCACCGCAGCCCTCCCGTGCGGCAGCCTGCCCGGCTTGTGTTCCGCCTGCTGGCAAACCCGCAGGCATCGTTTTGTGTTTACCGTCAGTTAAGAGGATTTCAAAAGGAGCATGCTCTCTGCTGGTTTTGTTTTGCTGTGTTGGGGAAGCAAACACGTTGTTTTCATGTTTTTGCTGGTGCAGCTTGAGCTGTGGGCTGGGCTGGTGTTGCAGTTTCTCCTGGGGATGGAAGGGCTTTGGCTCCTCATGGGTGGGTCTGCCAAGGGCCTGGGATGGTGAGGCTTGGTCGGCTGTTTTGCTTCCAAACAAGACTCAGGTGATGATTCCGGGAGCTGCACGTGGGTTTATTAGAAACATGTGGATCCAGTAGCGTGGGGGTTCCTGGCAGCCAAAGCGCAGGTGAAGGAGGTTTTTCCTGGGGGCCTGAGGGAAGCAGTGATTTATTAGCTTGGGATGTAGGCACATGTATGTTATGTTACAAGCTAAGGACAATGAAGTTGGTGTGTCGGCTTTTAAAAGCCTGATCCTTTGGCCACAGACATTCACCTTTCAAACCCCTCTACCAGTTCCTGTCCTGCGTACAAGTTTCTTCCCCTCTGCAAAGATCATTGCCTTAGAGCTCTGCTGCGGGATGAGCTGCATTTGCCTCCATCGCCTGGCTCACACATTAGTCAGGTTAGTTTAAATACTCCGTGAAGGTGATTTGAGCTAACCCATCTGATTTAGCCCGAAGGAGATTAGAAACACTTTAATCCACCAAGAGAATTATGGTTACGTTATTCTCAACCAGCAGAACTGGAACTGGGACGGGTGGATGTCCACAGCCCTAGAAATGAATTCAACCATGCTGTTTTAGTGTAGGATGTCAAATGGATATTAAATTCTTGAAAATTTCACTTGGAAGTGATCCAAACTTTTGAACAGAAAATCTCCTGATTTCTTAATTGAAAGTCAGCCTTTCACCAGCAATTCAGAAGTGATTTATAACTTTGCTTTACTGTTGGGAATATAAAGGTAGAATTCATGAAGGAAGTTGAAAAGTTACACAGGGAAATTTGAATGCTTACATGGAAAAACTGCTATGGTTGTGATAAAAACTCGGTTAATACTGCTGGTTAGTTCAGATGTATGAAGTACTACCTGCTATGTAGGAGAGCGAACTTTAAATTAATAAATTATTTCTGTTAATATCCAGTTTATCCACAGATGGGTGAATATGTTCAAAATAAACAAATTAGATACGCTTATTTTGGGCATTTATAAGAAGAATGGCAAAAAGAGAAGCCAGAGTTCAATTTAGAGCGACTGGAGGAATGAAAACACACATAACTCTGATTTGGAAAGGCCATGATTGTTCTTAAAATAGCAATATAATTCAGTGGAGATAAAGAGAAGTTATATATAAATTAATCTGGATTATAGTCCTGTGAGACAGACTGATTTAAAAGTCCCGTAGAAGGCATTTAATTCCTAACTCACTTGTTTTGAATATTTCCAGATGGTAGTTGCTTGTTGATTTTACAGATGGCTACTGAAGTTAAGTGATTTAATATGCTGGAGACTTGTCATGGGGCTGCTTGTTTTGAATTCAGGGGTTTATTTTTGCCAATGGAGCCAAAAGCAGGAGCGAGTTGTCTGAAGCCTCACACAGTTTTTTTTTTAAATGTCTCTTTGATTAGACTTGCAAGCCTGGGAGGCTCGGCTCGGCGGCGTGGCCTTACTTAACTTTTTACTACTTTTCCGCAGTTACAAAGGGCAGATGTTAAAAACTGACACTGAAAATATTCCTCCAGTCTGCTAGTACTGAAGTCCCCCTCCCTAACTCTTCTCTTTATTTTTTGTCTCATCGCTACAGCGTTAGAACTTGGCATAATTTTTTATAGAGACTTTTATAGGGACTCAAGCTCCTGAGTCATTTCAGTGAAGTCATGGCTGATGGAAAAACACTGACTTACATGGGTGTGTCTAGACGTAAAACTTACCATATATTTGAGGAAATAGACTGAGGTCTCTCAAATCTCTTTGTGAAAGATATTCTGTTGTTATTTAATGTTTTTGCTACGGTTTGTGCTTGTTCTATAAATGCATGACAGGATTTAAAAATGGGATGATGCTCCCAGCAACTGTGCCAGACTGTAGATGCTTTCACTTCCCTTCTCCCAGCTTTTCCAGGGAAAGTCTCTCAGAGTAGACATCACAGCACTGTAATCTGCACAGAGCAGAGGGCTGGGATCTGCATTGAGGAAGTCTGCGTGTGTGCGTGTGAATTTCTGAGCAAATTTAGAAGCAAGTTGAGTGCTATGGAAACGCTTCTGGGGCAGGTTCTTCAGGGATGGTTTGTCCAAGGAGCGTGTAGCATGCTTGCTATAGTCACTATGCAACCAACTGCACCTGCGTTCTTGCTTTTAGGCACCAAATTATATATGTAAGAGAAAATTTTATTTTTAAAATGGCCACAGTTAAAATTAGAGTTTCTTTTTTTTCCCCCCTTATCGCACTGTCAGGGTGAGGAGGAATTGCCATGTCAGGAGAGCACAGTTTGCCTGACGCGGCTGGCTCTCACCTGGCAGTGATCAGTGTTTTCACCCCTGCACAGGGTAAATACGTATTCTCTACCCATTGTAAATGCTGCAGGAGAGAAAGTATAAGTAATCTCTGTCAGTCATCCCTGTGGACAGAGCAATCCTCGTTTCTCATGATAAAGAAAATTGTACCAAAAGCATTTGAGATCTCACTTTGAGGCTAGGAAGGATGTACAGAGTAAGACTTAAGTTTTCCTGTGCGGGGAGAGAAAAAGGGTGGCATGAGTTTAGAAGTGCTGTAGTAATGAGTGATATTAAGAAAAGGCAGATACGTGTTTAATAGGGATGGAAAAACTAGAAAATGGAAGGTGTGAGTAGTTATACACACAGATGTATAAGATGAGGATTTTACGGTGCTTTCTGGAGTTGTAATTACTTAATTTCCTGGCATGTGCCGCTGTGTATCAGCCCTATGAACTATGTCTGCATATATTTTTTTTGATCTGTTTGAGCAGGAGGTTGTCCTGCCTGACTGGCAGAGGTGCCCTGGAATCCAAATCACACCATGACTGTACTTTGATGCTTGTTACAAAAACTGTAGATGTTATTCCTGGGCACAGCATAATGGCTGAAGGGTTAACACGCGTCGCGTATCCAAACTGAGAGCTGGCGAGGCCATGCAGTAGTTATAAGTCACAAATCACGTTCTCATTTGTAATTCACAGTAAAATACAGGGGAAGTACAATGCACATTCATTTGTTTACTGCACTGAGCTGGTGGTATTTCAAGTCAACGCACCCTGCATCTGGTTGTTTTGTGCATGGTAGCTTTAAAAAAGTTGGAGAGAGAGAAAAACTAAAAAGTTGTCCCTGATGTGTTTCCTAAAGCAGGGTAGAGGTAAACTCGTATACTTTTTGTGTGCAAAACTGTGGTCAGAATAAATATATGGTGAAGTGAGTAGTATCAGATCCTTATGCTTCTCTAGTTAGTATTTTTAGGAAGGTTAGAACAATAGTTGGTGTTAAAGCCATTTTTTGGTTTGTTTTATTTTGGAACAACTATTAATAGTTCCTTTTGTTTCATTTCCTTTGTAGGTATCGTGTTAGTGGCCATAAATCCTTACGAACAACTGCCTATCTATGGCGAAGATATCATCAATGCCTACAGTGGCCAAAATATGGGGGATATGGATCCACATATCTTTGCGGTGGCTGAAGAAGCGTATAAGCAGATGGCCAGGTGTGTAGACCGTGAGTCTTGAATTCATTATTTTTCTAAAATGAGTAAGACTGCCATGGAGATCATGGCCACTGACAGGTAACAGACATAACCACAGATCTCGTCAATATTTAGGACTAAAATTGCCCCAGTGCATAATGAGATTATGTTGTTTTAATTTGATAAGCAAAATGTGGAGATACTTCTTAATCATCAGTGTATTTTTTAAAAGAGAAAAGTGCCAGATTCTTAACTGTTTTGTATTTATATGTGATACTGACAACAGGAAAAAAAATCACTTGGCTTATGTGTGCTATTATAGGCTCCTAGTTGTGTCAGTAAAGTCCCAGCTACGTAATCCGCCTGTGGCAGTTGTTGACTAGAATTAAGAGGGAGCAGAGGGACGATTGCACAGGGTGCCTGCAAACGGTGTCTCTAAGGAACAGCTGCACAGGAAATCCTCATTTCTTTAAACATTGCATGAAAATGAACTTGTCACACAAGGAGAGCGGTTATAGAAACTTCTTCCCCTTCACCTCCAAGAGCCTGTCAATTTGAGACGCTTTTGAAATATTTCATTTCTAGGATAAAGGTCTTTTGGGCTACTGTGTGTTCTTTGGTTAACAAGATGGTATCCTCCCTGGTTAGCTGCAGGCTGTTGATAGAGTTTTCCTTGTTGACAGTACAGCCCATGATTAAATAAATCAAGTAAAACTGTGGCAGATCTCTGGATGAATTGCGATGGCCTTCGAGCCGTACTGCAGGAGGGGGAGGCAAGGGGAGAATGGGTTGAAGATGATAAAATGTTCATCTTTGAAATTAGCTATCTGTTCATTTAAGAATCCATATGAGACCTAGAATGAATAAACGCTCCATGTGCTGTGAAGTTAGCTGCGTACGTGAATATGGTGATTCATGATACCCACGTAATAGATAATTTCAAAAGAAAACGGTACGGTACAGTGCAACTTTTAGTGACTTAGGGTAATTGCGAAATAGCCAATGTTTCAAAAATACCCTGCATCTGCTCTGTTGAATGGCAGAAGTATTGGCCTTACTTCCTTTCTGCTAAGAAAATAGACATATAATCTGGTATGGAAATATAAAGGCAAAACTGTGTGCTGTGACAGTCACATCTGCATTGTGGCTCTTTCAGTGTGGATCACTGCTGTGTTACAGATCCAGATCACTGTTCTTTTAGACAGACTTGCTACTCACTTCTCTAAAAGCTCTACAAAATAAGTATTTATTAGCCTCATTTTATGTGTGAGGCACGGTACAGTGACCTGCAATTATGTCAGTGATGGATGTAATCCAAATTCTCATAATTTTTGTTCTTAATACTAACCAGTGGAAGTAAGAGGTCGGAGGAGGATCTCTGTCCACTGGCTGCCTGTAACCACTGTCTGAAGCAGGCTTACATTGTACCTGGGTTGAAATTTCAAATTGCCGGATCGCCTGTGTTCTGTGTGCTGGTTAGCTGAAGCCTGTGCAGTGGAGATTTCTATCTGCCACCATCTGCATTCTCTGCTGTCAGAGGAAGACTCAGGGGGCTGAGATTTTGGCTGGAGTTTCTGCTGTGGTTTTTCCTCTGTGTTAATTACCTGCTCTTCAGCTCTTGCTGCGCCCTCCGGCAATTCTGCTGTCCTGAATAACAACAAATAAGATGCAGTAGAAGTTCCTTTTTGAAACACATGATGAGAAATTATATAAGCATGGAAATCATTTGAAATAATCCTTTTGCGTTAATGAATTAATTCCTTTGTGTGTCTACACCATGTGATAAACAATCTGATGGTTTTTTGTATGAGTAACGGGCAGTACTTTCATAGGTGCAAAATGAAATCTGAACACACACTGAAAGTGAAAAAAATTCCCCTATACTGAAGTAACAGTTTCATTGTTTATTTAGTTTCTCCATGTTTATTTCCTTTTCTCTCTTTTTTTTTTTTTTTTTTTTTTTTTTTTTTTTTTTTTTTTGGGGCTTTTTTTTTTTTTTGGCTTGTTTGTTTTTAGGGACTTTTTCTGTCATTTGGACATACTGAGTTTGCTCATTGAATTTCATTTTCTAATGCTGTTTCCAATTCCTTAATCAGTTGTCCTGCCCTTTAGCCTCAGTGATACTTTCTACACTTTGAATAAATCACCTTTAACTCCTGAAGTTATAGAAAAAAATGTGCAGATTTACATTTCTGCAGATGGTTATTTAAAAATTAAAATCAAGTTGTCTGTGACAATTTCATTAACACTCCAATAATTCCATTGAATATTCATATAGTAGTTACTCTTATGGCGTTAATCTGTATTTATGCATGTAATTGGTGAGATTATTTTTCCATTGTTTCTAATCTTTCTTAACTCTGTGTTTAAATGATAACTGGAATAATTAGTCATGATGCTTCTATCCATAAGGCTGCAGTGAGCTCTTCTGAATATTTACTGCTTAGGTCTTGTTGTTAATTTATAATTTAATGATTTAGAATTTGTTCTTGCCAGCTTCATTACTTCGTGTGCTGTGGCCGAGAAACTCCTTCCGTGTGCATGGTTGTAACTAAATTATCTCAGTAGTCTTCTTCAGCCAAAGAAAATGCCCCATGACAGCAATTGGGAAAGCTACTGATTGTATGCTAAGTATTTGCATTGCGTCTTCAGAAAGTACAGTGCAAAAGTGTGGGCTGCTGGAATGACAGGGCTGGAGCTCACATCTGGCTTGTGCACGAAAGGTCGTGTTCAGCAAGTGCTTGGGGTTAACTGCAGCATAAAGCAGCACGTAAAGATGCCTTTGCTGTGAAATTTTCTGCACAGAGGGAGCCAAGCGGTGTGGTATGCGTGGGCTGTGAAGTGGTGTGCCCGTTTGGGCGCCCAGTATTTCATCTTTCAGCAGCAGTTCTGTCACCAGTTCCCAGCAGAGGGTCTGTGAAAAGGAATATGGCTTGTCTTTACCCACAGCTGACACTGAAATAAGTGATTACTGTTTGCTCAGTAGCTGCTTGTCTTTTTCAGCACAGGAAAATCTGCACACCTCTTTTAAGACTAATTTCATTTTTGATTATTATTTCTTTTCTCCCTCCCTACCCCTCAGCTCTCCCCTTTTATTCCTCCCTTCTCATCTGTGTCTTTGTGCCTTTTTCCTTTCCTCTCTCCATCTCCTGCAGCTCCTCTGCACAGGCTGGCAGCTTTGTTTCCAACACCTTTCCTCTGCTGTGCCCAAAATAAGCAATGAACTAGTTTTACAACTGCACTTAAATTGTGTTAGACTGAGGGTTATGTACGCCTCATACTTACCAGTAACTTTATTGGTTTGGATTGTACGATCCTCCAGACCACAGGTGTAAGGGCTCCAGGGCAGATCTCTTCCTCCCTGCGAGCAGGAGGAGATCCGCCTGCGAGTGTGTCCCAGCGGCAGGGAGCAGTCTTGGTCGGATGGAGACCTGTCCGAGGGGCTCCCCCCGCCAAAAAAGGGAAAGAAGTTTTTAATCACTCTTACATAGGATCCCTTCCCCTGCCTGGTACGGGTATATTGCAGTAGTTAAGATAATGTATTTTTTTCAATCGGCACTGTGTTGGTCTGGTTTGTTCCATTCTACTTGTGGTTGATGATAGATACAGCAGAGTGCAGTGCCTGTCAATGTAATAAATTAACTTGGAGATTTCCTTCTGATCAATTAGTAAAATTGTCTGGCAAAGTGCAAGTTAAAAGTAACATTTGCAAACAGAATTACATACTGATGAGATCCCTATAAAACTCAGTGAATACCAGGATGAAAAGCAACAGTGTTTAAAGCATCAGTCTCCAAAGTTTTGCTTTTTCTGTTTGGACAAAGTCTAATGATTTATTCAATGTTAGTGTGTATCTATCTTTTTCATTAAATTACCTTTAATAGGCAGGCTGCCTCTCTGTTTTGTCAGAATTTCAGTGTGTGTCTGATGGCTCTCAGCTACAGGAAGATTTTTTCTATCACTTTTTGTTCAAAAGGAAGCGCAGTGAGCTGTTGAGTAGGTGTTTTGAAAGCACCTTGACTGACAGTCTCCAGTTATGCCAGGCATCCCAAGATAATGTCCTCTTATAAAAATGCATGTTTGATCAGCTGGCTGCTGCTTTGCTTCCGAGTGTCTGATGAATGGATACTCTCCTCTCCACTGTCAGAAGTGGGGAGGGGGATGATTAACAGCCTGTCACAGATCTGCATCCCGTTATGAAACGAGAGCCTGCTGTGGTGGTACTGCACAAACACACAACGGCTGTCTTTGACCTGTGGCTTTGACATAGGACTTTTTAATGAAATACTTACTTTGGAAAGAGATGGTACTTTCAGGACTATGTTGATAAAATTAGAATGAAAAGGGAAATTGTCCTTTCTGGTGAGAACAGATGATTTTGGAATAGTCTTTTGTACTTTGGGTCTGACATTTTGTGGTGTTACGGGTACAAGACAGCAGATGGGGAAATCAACTTGACGTAACGTCAGGGACCTATTTGTCTGAGCAGTGATTATTTTTGGGCAACAAAAGGGTTATGTATGGTGGTAGCTGGAAGCTAGAGTTCATGTGAGGTGTCCTGCTGGTAGCTAAGCAATGAGCTTTCCTAAACTGTTGCAGGAGTGACCTCTGACTAATCCCTAGATAAACCAGTTGCGTAGTGCTGGCTCATCTTTGTGCTCCTCCGGAGTGCAATCTGTCATGATTTTGCAGCATGTGCTGACCTCAGTTTTCTTCATTTGTATGTGTCGAGAGATGTTACTGTCAATTTATTGTCTTTTTCCCTTTTGCCATGTTTACAGTCAAGAGCTGTGTTTCCTGGATACAATTAGAATGGCAAGTGCTGTGATTTGTTAATTAAAAAAAAAAAAAAGTACATCTGCTGGTTTTGAGAGTATTGCAGAACATTTTTATCAAGCTGTTGTTGAAGAGGACCAAAAGATGCTTAAGAACTTGAGGTGTTTTGGAGTGGCTGAGTTTACAGCTGGAACAGACTCAAGAGAATTCAGGTTATATCTAATAGTAATATTTCACCTTTGTTT